ATAAATTATTATTTGGTCAATATAACAATATAAATAATTCAGTATATTTGTAATAGGAATTTATTATTTCAGGGGCTTATATCTCGCGAAGGATCGCGAGTAGGGGTATGGTTCCTTTGACTTTATTGTTCGCACAGGGGCTACAGTTTGGGGGGGTTGCCACCTCTTCATTCGGAGGGTAAATCTTACCATTGGGACTTTAACAGAGCTGTAGAGCATATTGATAGGAACAAAAAAGTCAAAGGAACCGTGCCTGATGGAAATTTGTAAAGAACGCCCACTAGGGGGCGTCCCGGGCTACTAGTTATATATATATAGTTCTTCTTACTTTTCACAATGCTTTGGCAAAATTTTACACATACTGATGTGCGCTAGATGTTACAAAAACATGCAAAGCATATTGCCTTTCTATGCCATGTTTTGGCTAAATACATATATAAAATTTAATTATAAAAATAATGATTTTTAAAATTTAAAATTATAATTGTATTATAATCTTACTTGGCATTGATCCACACCAGTTTTAGGCACACATTAAAATCATTATGTTTATCTAAACAAAAAAATAATAATAATAAATTTTCTTCATTAACTGAACTGATAACAGTAATTATGATTTAAAATAAATAACTTATATTAGAATGGTATTATTTTATGTTTTATTAAATTTTAAAAATTACTATCAGATAAATACAATAATTTTCATTCATTTGTTTGAAGTTTTTTTACAATAAGAACAGAATTTTGTCCAAACTAAAAAATTTTATGAAACTGATAACTTTGAAAAAATGTATGAATAAAATTATTTTAAAAATTTCATAATGAAAAGCTATTCAAGAATGTCACAAAACATACATGTTTCATCTCTTTAAAATTTTTCTTTATAGAATGATAGTGTTTTTAATAAATTTAAAATGATATAGAAAATACTTCCTTTTCTCTCTCATAATTTTTATATTAATATTTTGTGTCATATATTCAAATATTAAAAATATTAGTAACAAAATCAAATTTACATTGTTTACATAATAAATCATAAGAAAGAAAATAAATTCCAATCAATTTCTATGATATTGATTTTTTTAATATAAAATATTGAAAAAGGGATTTCAGAATAAAAACAGTGTTATAATTAAGGCCCAGAAGTTCATGCAAACACATTTTTCCAAATATATTTATCTTTATAGGATGTAAACCTGGTTCCTTTTTCTTTGAACTCAGATAACTTTTCCATAGTTCAACCTAAATTCACCAAACTTGGCAAAAATATGAAGCAACTGTCTGGCTTTACGTTCCAAAAAACAAACACCCAAAAATGTCAAAATACTTTTTTGTTATTAAGAGTCAAAGAGGCAAAAGTCAACATTTTTGTTTTTTGATTATATCTTATCTCAGAGTTAATTAAATTTTCCAGAAATTATTTTATGCACATGCCAGTATTCCATATTAGATTTTGATGATTTTGGTGTCAAAATCATCAAAATCTAATATGACACCAAAATCATCAAAATCTAACATGGAAATTTTTTTAAAACTGAAACGAAACCACAAAAGTCATCCCAGAAGCCTGAGCTCACTTACTGCTCACCCAAACAATAAATATGAAAAAATAATTTGCTTTTTTCAATGCAATTTTTCAGCTCAAAAAACAGGATACTTGTCTTGTAATGCTTTGGAAATAATTGAGAAGGTGGAACAGAATTTAGTGACTAAAGGTGTTTTCGGAGATTCTATTTCCAGAAAACTGTATTATGTATTAAAGAAAAACAAAGAGTATATTATTTTGAAGCTTAATGTAGACATATTAAGAGGAAAAGAAAATGTTCCTCTAGAAACACTGGAAAAAAACTAACAGTCCAGTGTTGCTAGTAAGTATTTTAAGTATGCTCCCATCACCTCTTGTGATGTTAAGGATTCTTTCTCCAGATAAAAATCTGTACTAGCAGCCAATAAACATAGTTTTACTGTTGAAAACCTTTAGCACTATTATTGCAAATCTAAGTAAAATTACAGTTTTCCTATTATTTGCACATTTATTTCAACAACACAATTATTATTAAGGAAAAAATATAGGCATATCATTAACATATTTTGCAAAAAAAATGTTAACATATTTCCTACATTCTTTTTGGCATAAACTTCTTGAACTTAGTTATATCTATACTAAATTTACAAAATAATTTTAAAAACTTACCTTGAATTATTTTATTTGAATTATTATTGAATATGCCTTTATATTTCAAAACATCTGCAATAACAAAACTAAGTATAGGTTGATCAAGAAAATATTCTGTTATAGATGATATTTTAATTATATTTTTTGTTATTTCTTCTTCTATTTCAAATACATGCAAAACCTAAAAACAAATAATTTCATTATTTTTTAAGAATATTTATTTAAATTTAAGATATCTATTAATTCATTTCTTTAATAATAGTAGAGAATAATATCCAACTCAATATATTTCAGAGTAAAACATTTAGTTTTTGTTAATTAAAATTTCAAAATCAAGTGAAAATTATATGGAATGCATTCAAGATATTTTAATATAATTCTATTTACAATGTGTGTAAAAATCCTTTTCATTCAATACACTAATTTGATCACTGAATTGATAATGATTTTTGTGTGGCTTTTCAATTTTTGGAAATATCTTTAAAGGTAATGTAATTAAATGGCTTTGTATTCCAAAGTATCATTTTCAATAATTCATTAATACTATAAAATTACACAATACTTTTATTGTGATGAAATGAATGAATATTACAGTCAATCCTCATTAATACATTATCAGTTTATTGAACCAGATTTGCAGTCCCATGGATGAGGATAGGAATTTCAACATTAACAAGGTTGGTTAGTAATACAGAGCATATCATAGCCTCATAAATTTGATAACTATTATATTACATTATTTAATACAAAACACACTGCTTCCATCTTCACCAAAGTCACACAAACACATATCATGAAATGTGCTTTTCTACTTTGCAATAAGCATTTAATGTTGGCTACAATGCTTATAACATCTATGCTTATAACCACTGACAATGCAGACATTGGACATAAACACACCAACAATGTTCACTCCAACTCAAAAATTACTCTTTCTTATAGTCAACACTTTGTACAGTATACTGTAACATCATCAAAAGATTAGTTAAGACAGTTGACATGCACATTGAAAACCAGAAAGTTTTATTTACTCTTTCTTTCCTATGATCACTAAGGGGACTTTTTCCAGACTAATTGTAAGTGGTGAGAGATAAGGCCAGACCACCAAAAAATTCCTGGATTTTCCAACTTTCCCAGATTCAACTCCTGGTCCCTAGAGCAGTAGGCCAACATCCTCTTGGCCAGTAAGGAACCAAAAATTAATAGGAGAATTTCAAAAAGCTGTAGTTTTACAAAATAGTTATCACTAATTGTTTTAATAATGGATATAATAAAACAACTGAATTATAATGTGTTTGTAATTTTAAAATTAACAACAAACTTGTTTCATAAAAATTTGAAGTGTATGTTTAGAGTAACACAAAAGTGTATTTGTTTATTTTTTTTAAACACATTCAAACAAGATAAACCTAGTGAAACAACTAGGAGATTATTTGACATTGCCTTTTGAGGTATGACTATTGATTTTTTTGTAAAGTTTGTTTAATACAAAGTGCCAATTTTTAAGTTCCTTTGACTTTGCATTAATGGGATTTGACTGTGTATCATTATAGTAATTATTTCTAAACCAAAAAAATTTAGATCTGCACAGCAAATACACTAGTAAATCATGATGTAAAAACCTTAGTTACTATAATTTCCTGCATATGATCTGCAGATTATCTGTTTTGAAATCAGCAGGTGTAATCTGTGTGTTCTGACAATGTTTGCAGGAAATTGCAGTACTCCAAAACAGATGTGACAATGAATACAAACTATTTTGTCATATATCAATAGAACAGTTTTATATGCATATACTAATCTTATTAGCATATGCATATAAATTTCATATTTTATAAATATGAAATAAATATTCTAACCTTAAACTAATCTGGATTTTACATGTATAATTGGTTATCAAATTGAGCTTTGGATTTTTTGCACACACACATATGCACATCTAAGAATTTTAAAAGTTGTCTTAGAGCCTTGAAAAATTATAGTTATGGTCAACTTTGGTTAGAGCCATAACAAATTAACTTGTATGATCCAAATTAATATAGATCTAAAGGCAAAGATCTAATAAAGGTCTAGGTAATATAGCTGGTAACATATCTGCATGATAAGCAAAGTTGCAGATTTGGATTCTGCTTCAGGTTTCTTCAATCTTTTCTTCAAATTTTTCTAAATTATTTAATTAATTTCTAATTATTAAAAGTAACCCATAACAGCTGCTTAACTACCTGTCTTCAGACCAAATTCTGTGATTTAATTAGTTAAAATTTAAATCTGCTCCAAAAATAATCTGATCTTTACATATATGATTGTGTGTTATTTTTTAAAAGATATAGAATAATACATATGCTTGCTTAGTTTCCTTAAATAAGTTATTTGCTTAAGAATTTCTTTTAACTCTTTTTGCCATATGGGCATTAAGGAGGTCATTTTCCATATTCATCATAAGTTTTACCAACTCTCAATGAGGTTGGAAAAATGGTAAGGACTGGAAACAAATATATCTGGGACAGACAATCTATGAAAAATTCCTGGATCCAGATTCACAAATACCTCACATTGTAAGTTATGAGAAAATTTCTTGTAAGCTACCAGATACAAAATATCTTGTATTCACAAAGCATATTGTAAGTTACTATATACTAAAAAATTTTATAAATATTACAATAGTTAATAGTTTTTGTAAGTCAATGTAAGCTTACTAGAAAAGACAGTGATAGAGTATTTGGCTCTATCAAATCAGTGGTCAAATGTTTGCACATAATTAAGTCAATCATTATTTCCAACTGTCTCCTTTAAAATAATTCTGATTTCAAACTTCCAAGATGTCATCATATTCACAGTGGAATTAAAACTATTTATAGAACATATGAAAAGATCTCATTCATTATAATTTAACACTATTTTTTTAAATAAAAAAACGAAAATTTATTAACTTCGTTCAAATGTCAATATTTCTATTAATATAACTACTATCATACTATTATATGCATATAATTGCATATAATATGCATATATCAATTATATGCATATAATTGATACTATATAGTATCAATCATATGCAGATTTCATTCCACACCTAGATTGTGAATTTTATGTATTTCAATTCAAACAAATTATTTATCATATTTATACAGACACTTGGCAAATCACAAAATAAAATTTTATTCAGTTGATACGTGTTTCTTTCGTTTATACATGTTTCGGGCATTTCTTGCCCCTCTTCAGCCAACTAAAATAAAAATTCACAAGTTACAACAGTTTAAACAAACAAATATATAAGGTCATGTTATCTTAAAAACATACCTTTTTGATGAGTTTAAACAATTTTAAATAGTCAGATAACAGGTTCGAGTCAGATAACAATAAGATATCAGTCAAACGTACCACTTCATGTCAAATATGATGTATTTAAAATGGAATATTCTAAAATAAAAAACAGAACAAGTCAAGAAATACACATCTGCAAATTTAGCTGAATTAAAAAAGAAATTTCTCCTGGCGGGTTACCCACAAAGACTGTTAAAAAAATGGGAACTTAAAATAAATAAAAAGCGACAAGACAATAAAAAAACAAATGATACAAAGTATATCAGATTTCCATACATCAAAGGACTACACAAACAAATTGATAATGAAATAAATAATATAAACTTCAAGCTAGCACCATCATACCAAAAAATGTATACAAGGATTAAACAGCTCAACACTGAGAAAAAACAACTACTACCAATTGAAACTAAGAATGTAGTATATAAAATTCATTGTACTTGTAAAGATAATAAATATTATATAGGAAAAACTAAAAGAAAGTTAAAAACCAGATTAAAAGAACTTATAGCAGATCTGAAATACAATAGATTAAATTCTGCTTTTCATGATCATTGCACCCTGAACAATTGTAAAATAGATAAAGATAAAGTACAAATACTCCAAAGAAAAAGAAACATATCACAGAAAGTTCAAAGAAAGCGTAGAAATTATCAAAAGTAATAAATGTATAAATAAAAACCTAAGTATTAAAATAAACGAAAACTGGCTCAATATCTTATAAAATTAGGAATATTTTTGAAGAAGATTTTTATGTAACAGATTTTTTATGTAGAAAAGTAAATTTTTAAAAAAAATGTTGCTACAAGGTGGCCTACTCATCCTGTGACTGTGTGGTAGATAGTGGGCAGGCTTCATTGGGGAGGAAAGGAGGGAAAGGAAAGGTCAGCGAAATACATTTGTTCGAAAGACTAGTATGTAAATCTTAATTGTAAATCAATTTAAACATGATTTTAAGCATATGGAAGAAATTTTAAAATTGTTTAAACTCATCAAAAAGGTATGTTTTTAAGATAACATGACCTTATATATTTGTTTGTTATTTGTTGTATATTTGTTATATATTTGTTGTATATTTGTGAATTTTTATTTTAGTTGGCTGAAGTGGGGCAAGAAATGCCTGAAACGTGTATAAATGAAAGAAACACGTATCAACTAAATAAAATTTAATTCTGTGATTTGCCAAGTGTCTGTATAAATAAGATAAATAATTTGTGTTTGAATTGAAATAAATTACTGGCACGGTTTCAAAAATACCAAAATTTTATGTATTGTCTATTATATATACATAAACAATTTACATAAAAGTAACTCCTATCCCAGTTTTCTTTTATATTTAGTAAGAATCTACTGTTTATCAGCTTTCTTCTTCTTATACCATCTATGAAACATCTTAATTCTAACAAAATAAAATATGGTTATCTTTCCTCAGACATTTCAAGCATAAGAAGTGAGAAAATTCTGAAAATATATGAAGAAATACCTTCTGATTGGCTCTATTAAAATAGAAGCAATTGCTAATGTCAGAAGACATACTCTCATTACCAATTTCCTGTTTTGTCAAAAGTATTACAATGTGTTTTGTGAATGTGAGATATAAAATACCATTACTTTCTGGTAACTTCACTATATTAGAGATACTATATCTTATCTTACAAGACATTTGTGAATTTGGACTCTTAGGTTCGCTGCCTGAATTCAATACTGAGTCTCCTAGTACAGTATGCTAATACCTTAATTACATTGACCATCCAACCACCTGTTTAAGAAAAAACACAATTTCTCAACAATACTTTTGTTATGTGACAGTATATATAAACAAAAACAATAGGTTAAAGAAAAAAGCATTAAGTCTTTAATCTGTTTTTATCTGGAAAGAAAAATATAAAATAAATTAGGCCATTTAAAAAAAAATTAAACTATTAGACATCAAATTGAAAGGAAATACAATAGTTCAGCAATACAAATATAGTCGACCCCCCTATAACACGGTAGATATGTTCCTGTTCTTATGAATCCAGCTTCTAGGAGTCCAGCCAATCACAGCCCGGCACATATGCAGTTTACGAACTACCGCTGTTTGAAAGGTTCTTCCATAAAATTAATCGATTCTAGAATAATTCGACTCAACATTTCCCAAATACGTATAATTTTTTGGGACTAATCCATATAAACTATGCTATAAACAAAAAATTGTAGGATTACTTACCAAGTGTGCACCATTCGACTAGGCCGTTGCTTAAGCTTGTTTTCGTCACGGAGATTGTCATCGAATGGCTCTCGCGTGCTTTCTGATAAATTATTTTTTTGCGAAAAATTTGCTGAACTTTAGAGACATCATTAATATAAATATAATTTTTATGGACGTCAAATAATAAATAGTTTTTAGTAGGTCCGCTGCTCATTTAAACTCAACGGTTTGTGCAATCCTGTCGCAACATGAGTTGTCAATGACGTTTTACCGAATTATAGGAGTTTTTTAGCATGTTTGTACGAATACTGTTGTAATTTTTTCGCCATGATATAGGAATCCGAACTACAGGAACCCATGTTATAGGGGGGTCAACTGTATAGCAATTTATTCAATATTAATAAAAATACAGAAGACATTAATTAATTCACGAATCTTTTAAGGAAAATTTTCTGAAACATGAAAAGTTTGTAAGAAGAAAAAGCATCAAACCAATCATTTAATAAAAAGATTCAAATCATTAATTTAAGAATAAGACTACTCATTAAATTAATCATTTTGAAACACAATTAAAAAGATATTTTAAATAGTAAAATCAATATCAGATAAATTACGTATCTAGTACTGTATATAAGACATAAAAATTGAATTCAAGTATAAAACTATGTAGCCTTATGACTTTAAAATAATATTTCCATTAATTATGATCTACTTACAAGAGAATCGGATTAAAATCAAATAGATAATATAAATAATTTATATTCATTACTATATTTACTGTTTGATGTTCTAAGAGAGTCATGTTTTCAATTTAAAAGAAATCATGCACAGGGACTAAGGAAAAAGTTAAATGTAAAATGGCTTTATCAATACACTGTATTATAACTGAAACATTTATCTAACAATTACTAAAAAATCTTACCAAAATATCAAATAGGCTTCCTAGACATAATTTTAAGAAATACTCAGATAACAACGTAATTTTGAAAAATAACAAAAAAGAAGAATTTATCTTATGGTAGTGAATTTGATGGTAGTGAATGAAAGTCACAAGAATTACAATTATAAATGAGAAATATATATCTATATGATTAACTCTATTGATAATAAAATATAAATTTATGAAGGAAAACACTTTGCAAAATTTTAGAGAATCTTTATCACAAATATGCATTTTCAGAATTCTACAATTTCTATGAATATAAAAAGTAACAATGATGCAAAGTTTTTTTCTATAAATAAATACATCAGTCATAATTGAACAAATAAAAACTACATAATTTTAAACAATTCATCATTTTAAATACTACTTGCAAAATGAGAATGTCAGGACGATAATCAAAATACAAAATAAAGCAAATGCATAAAAAATTAATAACAAGAATGAAATATATTGATGATGGTTAAAAATCAAATAAATAATTCTACATTATGGGGTTTCCATAAGTAACATCCTTATTTTTTTAAGCAAAAGTTTTAATTCATATAAAAAATACAGAATATATGAAATGAAATATGTGGATTAGGCTACTTCTTGACATAAGAACCATTCAAGTTCAAGTACTTGTCACAGCAGTGTACAAGCTTGAAGATGCCTGTGGTGTAGAATGCCGATTCCTGACCAAACAACCATCCATGTACAACCGATTTAACTGCCTCATCAGAATAGAACCTCTCTCCAGCCAGGAATTTCTTCAAAGGACCAAACAGGTGGAAACTGCTTGGTCTCAAATCGGGACTGTAAGGGATGCAGAATTTCCCATCCAAAAGATGTAACGAGGTCATGGACTTTTGTCGAAGCATGTGGACAGGCATTATCATGAAGAAGTCAAATATCATGTGCTTTTCCAATCAAAATGTCTTCAAGCAAATGCAGCAGTTGATTTGAATCAACAGCAGCAACTGTTTGAGGCAAAGCTGCACTTACCGGATAACCTGACCTGTGCTCGTCATCAATCACACACTGACGACCATTTTTAAACATTTTGCACTATTGACAGACGGTTGAATAGTCCACGCAATTGTCACTGTACACCTTCTGCATTTCCACATGAATTTGTCCATATTTCTTGACCCCTGCCCATAGAAACTGAATAACACTTTGCTGCTCTTGGAGCATGGACAATGATAATGTGCATGCCATTTTCTTTCTGTTTGTCAGAAATGTCTGACAGACAGCACAAGTGTTCCTGTCATGCAATAATGTTGCCAGAAACTCAAATATAGAATTTCATTTACTATATTCACATTTTTGCATACACATTAAAACATTTGTTTAAAAAAAATAAAAGGCATTACTTATGAAACCACCTCATATCATTACATATATAACTGAATGCATCTAAAGATAACATTTCAAAAAAATACCATACAAAAGTTAGGACAAAAATTTTTAAAAAAGTGCATAATAGGAAACAATTACATTATATAGAATCAAAGAAATAGAGATTTTACTATACTTCTCAAAAAATAGGAAATAATGCAATAGAAATCATAAATAGATAATAACTTTTTATCTACAATATGACATGTTTAATAATGAAATGAAATAGCAGAAATCAATAACAAATGTTATAGCATGCAAAATTTAAATTATTAAAATTTCAACTTAAATATACCATTTAGTTTGATTTTTTAAAAAATAAACAAACCTTTCGACTAATATCTGAAAGAAGAAAGTATTTGCTAGAAAGATCAAGCTCTGCTTTTAGACGAAATTGTGTGTTGCCATCAGATGGTAAAATAAATCTGGAAAAAAATACAACATAAAATCAATACAAAAATTTGTAATTACATCATTCATTTATAAAACTTGCATATCTATTATTCTTACAAATATTTTAAAGTAACACTAATCTTTCTGTTTGATTAGTTATTATATTGTGAAAACTTGATAAGTAATTAATCATCTGAAATTGTTAGTTTTATCTTTAACATAATTTTCTAGAAAAAAGAGATACAAATTTAATATAGAAATCTCTCT